CTAAAACAAAGAAAAAACTTGGAATGGCCCAATCGCATATATAAAAGAACTCGGCAGCACATAATAATAAAGTAGCAATATATAATAAAGAAGCATTCAGCATTAAAATCTTTATTTCTTTTATCAGATGTTCACTGTCCCCAACTTAAGAATCCAGCAGATGGCACAGTCGTGTTAACTTCCGGTAGACACGTCAATGATGTTGCCGTTTACAATTGTAATCCGGGCTTTGTATCTAAGGGTAATCTTACTCGAATCTGTTTGAAAAACGGAACCTGGAGTGGGAAACCCGCAGTATGCTTAGGTAATGAATTCTCCATATAGAAATTAAGAAACTTTATAGCAGAGACAGAAATAACTAAAATTCGAGTGAGTATAAATTTATTTAAAATGGGTGTATTATTTTTAAGTTTTAATTATACATAACTTATTTAAAGCAAACTAGTCAAATTATAGCTGTCAGTGATTGGAAGTTGGAAAAAAACCTTTGAGTAACGTGTTGGTATTTTTTATTTCTCTTCTGTAATTATATTAAATTAAGAAACTAGCAAAAATATGAGTTCTGCCTAGTTTGTTGATATGAATAAAAACATCCATGTTCGTTATCCTTGATAATTTTATAGGATTTGTGTTGTATCTAAACGGTGCAAGATTTGAAAAAGTAAAATTTGAAATTGCGAGATTTCGAACAGTTGTGAATCTTGCTTTTTAAGTCTCTGCTTTACATGTATTTTTTTTTTTATTTTTATTTTTTTATTTATTTATTTATTTTTTATTATTTTTTTATTTATTTATTTATTTATTTATTTATTTATTTATTTATTTATTTGCATTTTTTATATTCCTTGCATTTATAGATGTTAATGGTCTTCTATATTTCTTATTGATGTTTTAAACCCCTAAATGCGCCAATTCAGGATTTCTTGATTAACGCAGCTATGTTAAGGCTGTCCGAAGGCTTTATATGCATTAGATATATACTATTTTATTTTGAGCTATATTTTGTTTTCAATTTGTAATCTATGTATGCATACACAGTTAAGTTGTAAAGAGAGTTGAATAAGGTATTATAAAAAAGCATTTCTGTGATGTCACATGACTGTGTTGATCACGTGACGGACACTTATAAATTTTCTTAAATATTGCACAAAAATCGCATCGGCACAAGTGAAAAACAAAATTATTGTGAACGGCTTGTTGCATAAATCAATTAAACGTATTCTTGGGTATATATAAAGTGCTGGGGGCAAGTCTGAATTTTATTTCCTAAGAAAATATTTCACGAGAAATTCAACTTACCCATATACAATGGGTCATTTTCCACTCTTCATCGCAATTTATAGAAAATGATATAAATTACATACAATCCCCCAGCAAAATTCAGTTAGAGGACATATCTCTCTAGTAGATTCACACAGAATATCTTCAATTAATCCTTATTATTCACTTGTGCCAGTCTAATATATACACGATTTATAAATTCTCACTCTGTCTACAAATGCGTAAGGGGGAGCGTTTCACATTCTTTTTGTAAATTGTTTGAATACGTACATGTTAGACAAGAAAAAGGAATAACGATATTATACTGCAAATATTCACCATCATAACAGCCTTAAAACAACAATCAAGACAAATGAATTAAACATCAACGTAAAAATAATCTACATGTGATGTGAAAGGAATGTAAAAGTTATGACACTTTCCCCGTCATGTCTGCTCAAGTATGCAGTGACTTGACGTCATATGCCATTATGACGTCATATCTATGTAGTTCAGAGAAGTTACTGCGTTTGGTACACTGTGACATTCTTCGGACAGCCTTATCCTTGCCGCGAAGTATCCTTTTTTTATTCAGTCACTGACACATTGATCAATACACTAACTCTTTAAGTGGCTATTATTCCTTTAAGAGAAATGTTTCTTTTAAAAGATCTTAATTTTAATCAAATTACACTTGGTGAAATTAAATTAATGAAGCAATTAGAAATTGACGGACGAAGTCATCATATTCTCTAGTTTGCTGTGTGTAATGGTATAACCAGAAGTCTCTGACGAGACTGTAGCTCTACTTGTTTGTACTTAGAACAGGAGAAGAGAAAAGAAACACTTGAACATGAAACTATGACATCAACAATAAATAAGATAATGATCCTTTGGTTTACTATCTTTGTGTGGCAAGTTTTATTGCAATCTGACTAAAACTGACTTTTAAAAGAATTTTGCAGAAATTTTTAGTAGCCATGGCCACACCATTCATTAAATTCAGCATAATTATGTATCTCATGGTTATCTAATTGTGTGAAAACTTTCTTTTTAATTGAAACCTGTAAGAAGAGTAAAGTGTTTAGAAAGATTTTCACAAAAATTGTATTTTAGTGACCATGGCAACACAATGATTCACTTGAATTTAAAAAACAACAACAGTAAACGGTATATGGTAATATATCTAAGCGCGGTCTACTTGTTGCCAAGTTATATTAATATTGAACCAAATTTAAACTGTAGGAAAAGTAGCATTTTGAAAAATTGTTTACGTGATGACTTTAACTTTTCAATCTTCAACTTCCCTTACTTATGCAGCAATATACCTTCATCACCTGCATACGGGGTATATATCTCTCAGTTGATTCGATATGCAAGAGCATGCTCTAAGTATGTACAATTTCTAAAACGAGGTAAATTATTGACAAATAAGTTGATGAAACAAGAATATCAGCTGTCTCGTTTAAAGTCATCATGTCGGAAGTTCTATGGTCGAAACAATGACCTTGTCAGCAAATACAATTTATCATTGAGTCAAATGCTGACTGATGTTTTTCATACTAATTGTTAGGCCATTATTTACACACTGAATTGTCGGCGGATTTTTCCGTTATTTCCCGATCATGACAAGGAGCACACGGCGGGTGTGACCGGTCGGCAGGGGATGCTCACTCCTCCATGGCACCTGATCCCACCTCTGATGTTTGGAGGTCCGTGTTTGCTCTGCTCCTATTTTGTATTGTTTAATGGACTTTTGAGCTTGAATACTGTTCGTTATCTCCATATATTTCATAACAGACAAACAGAAAGTGAGACGTACACCATACTTTCGCATAATCTCTTCTGGTCTCTGACCAGTTTCAAATTTGTCAAAGTTGGAAAAGATTTTGATGTGATGGAATCCTGGGATTATGAATGTCATGCTAATATTCTTTTTTTTCCAGAAAATATGATAATGTACTTGTTTTTAAATACGAAATATTTCCACTATTATTGTCCTAGTGAAAGGTTTACTTAAAAATTCTTTATGATAGTTATTGTTGAAAATATGACATTTGCATAAAAATGGAAAAAAAGAATTGTATAATTATGTAAATGCACTAAATAGTCTTTTTAGAGAACTTGTAAAAACTTTCAGTGGACCATAATTCCGTACCAACCTTGAAAAATTCTGAAAGCAGTAATTCACATTTTTTGTTCTTGATTAAAACAAAATCAATAAAGAACATTATCAAAAAATATTTCATTAACTTGTATTTTGCAACTGATTTTGTTTTCATATGATTTTTTCCATTTTTTTAAAGGATTCAATCTGTTATCAGAATTTTTAAATTAGGTTTCTGAAACAAATAGATTTAATTTGTCTTCTGTTAGCACAAAGACTTAAAAAAATACTTATGATATCAAACAGAAAGAGTTATAGCTTTTCTTATAGAAAGAAAACCTACAAATAGAATGGATATTTTGTAAAGCAACTTTAATTCGCGTGCGAGAAATATTCGCGAGTTTCGCGACCCACTTTTACTCGCGTATAAATTGCCGCGAACCATTTATTTTGCTTTGTATTTGCAAAGAATGTTTCCCCAGTCGCGAAAATTAATGGTTGTGGATAGATTTTAAACCGACGAATCGCGAATGAAAGATAACGCGAATATTAGTTGGTTTACAATATCTGCTGTTACCTGAGAAGATCTATATGTAAACTGTTAGAAATGAAATACAATTTAAAATATACTAGAATAAATGAAGGTGGCTGTCAAGGTAACATTCCAGTAATCTTACTGAGAATTTAGAAATATTTTTCATTGCTCTTGGAAGATGACTCATTGAAATTCTCTGTCTCGGTGAACATGAATCGGCCTTTCCGTGGAATTATTCGATATGTCTGTTACGAAGACTATTTCTTACAAGGGGAAATCTTCAGCGGAAGTGTTCACTCCTGGGAACCTCACTAACTGTACAGATACATGTAAAAGTAAACACTGTTTTTGTTGTTAGAGCCATTTACATAAAATCTTTATTTTAATTACAGCTAAAAGGAGATGCACGTGTCCTTGTGATAAGGTCCATGTAGCAAAGTACACAACCACCCAAGAAGAGGCATTAATCAAAGACATCGAGAAGATGAAAAAAGAACTTATGGTTTTAAAGAATGAAACATCTGTTGCCATGAAAAAGAAAATTAGTGTAAAGGATTTACGACCATCTGCCACAGCTTCCGGTGCTGTTTGGGTGATATTTCTGTTAGTTGTGGTTAGTGTAATAGTGGTTCCGGATGTGATATCAGCTGTCAGATATATACTTCATGTTTATGAAAGGCATTTTAAAAAATCATGAATATACGTATACAACAGCAGCAAAATACATTGAAAAAAAACACAATTAGCATTGACAATTTATTATCATAATATGATAACATTTCTGATTAACGAAACACGATTTAGTTTGTCATATGTGAACCTATGCCTTTTTTTCCTGTGTCAGATGACCTTAGCATCAAATCACATGTTTTGTTTTATATTGTTTTACCTGATAAACAAGGTCAACATCTCATTCCTGCAACCAGACATTTTTTTCTGTAATGTTGTAATCTCTTCGTTTTTGTTGCTACAATCAACATTGTACAATAAATGGAAAAAAGGTGAAGATATCAAAGGGTGAAGATATCAAAGTGTGATTAGTCTCGTAAATCATATAAATAACAGAAGAGGACAAAAAGACGAACCTCTGAAAACACCATGGGTGAAATCAGGTGCCAAGAAGGAGTTACTGGTAAGCATTCCCTGTCGACCATCATGAACTCTCTTTATTGAAAAGGTAAACGTAATAACACATAGATAAAATTAGTCTGAGTATTATGACCTAACAATTAGAATGAAACATGTCAGGCAGAATACCGGTATGACCCAAGGATTATTTATACAGGTATTTGCAGAAAAGCTCATTATAACGAACATAAAATTTACCATATGCTGACTATAAACTAGGTCGTTGTTCAGCTCTGTAACGTCAACTTATTTATCAACAGCCTGCCTTTGGTAAAAAATTGATCGTACTCCGATCATTCTCTTTCGTACCGAATCGGTTGGGAGACATGAACACCATATGCAGATGACAGTGGAATGTAACTACATAGAAAGGGTTAGTTGGCGATGTAAAAGCTGAGCTCTTTCCGTTTGACATAGTTTACATGATAGTTTGCCATTCACATTTTAGTCTATAAAACTTCAAATTACGAAAGTTTACCGAGATACATCGAGTCGATATATATATATATATATATATATATATATATATATATATATATATATATATATATATATATATATATATATATATATATATTAACATTAGTAATATATAGTTTTCATATTATTAGGATTGACTATATGAATTATTTTGTTCATTGAGAAATGAATCTAAAAAACGAATCGCACACTTTATGAAAGCCGAAGGCTTTCATAAAAAAGTGTTCGATTCGTTTTTTAGATTCATTTCTCAATGAACAAAATAATTTATATAGTCAATGCTTATAATTCAATTTCAGCGAAAAACATGTTTCTTTTCATGTACATACTCATAATTTAGCTAACTCAAAAAATTGTGCACGAAATTTACATGCCGACAGGTGCGTAGAAATATATCGATTGGAAAATCACACGATTCATGGGAGCGGATCTAAATGCCTGTAGTACACAAGGCGGGTATAATTTTCTTTTAAATGTTATAAAAATAAAGAATTCCCCGTTATGTTTTAATTTTCTTTATAACGATTTACTAAGTTATCGATTACGCGAGTTATGAAAATCTGCACGTACAATTTTTAAAAGCGATTACACATAAAGCATGCAGAAACTTGCTTTGTTGTCAGTAAGCAAACGGTCAACGGTAACACGTCAAGTGGAGTGCAATGGAATATAAGAAAGGGAATATAAGAAAGAGACATCTTCAGGTTAAAAAAATCTAGAAATAAACTTCTTTGTCGATACACCTTAAAATATACGTACAACTTGTGACAATTAACATGGTTAATACCCTGTATAAGTTTGATGTGCAGACGAAATACTTGAGAATGTGATAACACTCAAATCAGGAAAACTTTAGTCTAAGGTCCTTCTTATCATTTAATTTTCATAACCTACATAATTTTTTTTTCTAGTTTGGTTTTCAATTTGTGCTAAATTCAATGTAAATTCTTTCTTTACAAATAAAACGCAAAACACGTGCTTCTTTACAGAGTTATATCCCTTGCCATCCCCGGCATTACCATTGACAACAATTACCTCGCTTAATAATTTATTTGAATATTTTTCTTTTTTCCTTCTCAACAAGAATTTTTATTGTAAAATTTAAAAATAGAAACATATAATTAAAATATTTCCTTTAAAGCACACGGAGAGAAACAAAAGATTTACAGAAGCTGAATTTAAATCATGAAAAGAACATTGTCGTACGTTATAGAGAGTATTAGTTTATAACACAGTCGGGTTTACTCAATTACTGGAATGAGAAACACTAACAACAAATGTATCAAAATGAATAAAGAAAAATTGTTCGGTTACTAAAATTGACATTACATTCATCGGAAAATGAATAGAAAAAATTCTGCGTAGAAGTACATTGGTTCAAAGTGATGAAAGGAAGGAAAATTGAATTATTTATATATATATATATATATATATATATCTGTTATTTTCCCTAAAGTTGTAGCAATTTAAAAGAAAAAAATTTAAGTAACAGAAAACGATCTTAAATTTTTCCAGATACAACGGTATATACAGCACAATGTAGAACAATATTTAGAAACTGCATATCGACTTCCAATTTGCCATTAAATGAAGTGCAAATAAGTCACATATCAAGTCAAATTTTCTGTTTTTCAAATAGGGAATCCCATTGTTCTGAAAAATTGAAACAGAATGAATTTGATATACGCATAAAGAGACAGGATTTTTCTTCGAAACTGCCATTTCCGATTTTTGTTTCAAAGAGGCATATTTTGAAAATCACAAAAATCGAATAAAAATTATTATCCATCCGAAATTCAAAATGTGCACATAAAATACCACTTGGTACCTCACTGTCGCAGTGTAGTGGTAAAGCGTGTGAACTCTATGCAAAGATTCTTTTACCCGAGAATGGGTTCGATTCCTGGAATGGCTGATATATATTATATTATATGAGTGTATGATTTATAAATGTTTAAAATTATACATTGATTCTTTTAAAAAAAGCAAACGAGGCAAATAAAAACGGCCAGTGATCGGAAGTGGCGAGATCTCGGAGTCACCTGTTGGTTTTTCTGATTTCTCCTTTGTATAAATAAAGAAACGAAAATATAACCTGAAGAATAGTTTGTTGATATGAATAAAAAGGCTCTACGTCATCATTGATAATTTGAAAAGATTTGTTTTTTTGAACTGGTGCGAGATTTGAAAAAGTAAACAATAGAGTACGAGGAAATGCAAAAGATTTTGACACTTACGAATCTCTGTTATTTATGTCTCTGCTTTACGGGCGATTCATTTTTGCATTTTCTTAGGTTCCTTGCATTTATGCATTTATAGATCGATGTAAATGGTCTTTATGTTACCGATGTTTCAAACCCATACATGCACCATTTCATGATTCCTTGATTATTCGTACTTATTTTAATCACGATTAATTTTTGATTGCACTGACACACTGGCCAATAAGCTAACTCGTCAATTAACAACTGGTCCTATGAAGAGAAATGTTTGTTTTAAAGATTTAAATTTTAATCAAATTACACTTGGTGGTTCAAGGTAAAATTAAAACGATGAAACACATAGGAATTGACGGGATGAGTTATCTTTATCATGATATTCTCTAGTTTGTTGTGTGAAATGGTATAACCAGAAGTCTTTCAAGAGACTGTAGTTCTACTGGTTAGTACTTATAACAAGGGAAGAAAAAAAGAAACGCTTGGACATGAAACTATGACAACAACAAAAAAATAGGATAATTAATCATTGGTTTAGTCTCTTTGTGTGGCATTTTTTTAAATTGCAATCTGACTAAATCTGCCTTTTGAAAGAATTTTACGGAAATGTTTAGTAACCATGGCAGTATCATTCATCAAAATCAAAATAATTATGTATCTCAGGGAAGTCAATTGTGTAAAATGCTTTACTGAATTCGGACTATATCTGTAGGAAGAGTAGCATTATGAAAGAATTTCACAAAAATTCTGTTTTTAGTAACCATGGCAAAACCGTTCAACGAAATCCAAAAAAAGAGGATTATATATCTCAGCCTAGTCTACTTGGGTACTTAGTTATATTAACATCGGACAAAAACTGTAGAAGAAGTAGCATTTTCGAAATTGTTTACAGACGAACAGACAATTAGAGGGTATGACAGACACTCTGTTTCGCATAATCTCTTCTGGTCTTGGACCTGTTTCAAAGAAGAAGGTACGGTTTTTAGCTTTATTGTGCCCTAAAAAATCATTGTTTTCAAAAAGTTTTGAAACTGGCTTAAATATTAGTTGAGTATATGACTGTGATAAATCAGAAAGGAATATGGCATGAAGGAGTACCATTCTGGAAATATGACGTCATTAATTTAATGCATTTCTCTATTTTAAACAGAAAAAGCCTCAAAATTGCCCATTTCTAGGGTTATTTTCCTTAAGAAAATAGTGTCCACAGCTGTCGCCCACTTTAATTTTCGGATATGTTGCGTAAATTTCTTTGAAAAATCATATATCTCAAAATCTTTGTGGGCGATGCCTGTGGACAATATTTTCTGAAAGAAAGTTCCATTGAAAATTGGTGTCTTCTGCAACTCTTTAAGAAAATACGGGAAAATGCACAGGTCTATGACGTCACAGTTAGCATTTAGAAGGTCATGTGAGAAAAATGGTTTGTATGATCTTTTTGCATGTAATTTCAATGATTCAAAAAGCATAAGTTTTAATTTTTTATATCACTTTCATTTTTAAGAAAAACACAGGGCAAGATTTGTATTGAAACCGTACCTTGTTCTTTGTCAAGGTTGGAAAAGATTTTGATGTGATGGAATCCTATTCGGACTGGGATTATGAATGTCATGCTAATATTCTTTTTCAGAAAAGGAAATAATGTACTTGGTATGAAATATTTTCTACATTATTATTCTAGTGAATGGTTTCTTTAAAAATTATTAATGTTAGTAATTGTTGACAATATATCACACTTGCATAAAAAAGAAAAAGAATCATGCATGTAATTACACTAAATGACCTTTTTAGATAGCATGTAACAACTTTCAGTGGACAACAGTTCTGAACCAATCTTGAAAAATTCTGAAAGTTAATGCACATTTTTTTCTTGAATGAAACAAAAATTAAATCAATGAAAACCATCGTCAAAAAAGAATTTCATTAACTTTTTTAGCAACTGATTTTGTTTTCAAATGAATGTTTCCATTTTTTAAAAAGAATTTAATCTCAGTAATAAGATTTATTTAAAATTAGGCTTCTGAAACACATTTGCCTCCTGTCAACACAAAGATTTTAAAAAATACTCATGATACCAAATGGATTTTTTTAAAGTTATTCTTATAAAAAGAAGACCTAGAAATGAATACCATTCTTATATACTTTTTTCCAGAAACTATAATGATGTACTTTATATATGAAATATTTCCTAAATTATTGTCCTAGTGAAAGGTTTACTTAAAAATTACTTATTTTAGTAATTGTTGACAATGTGACACTTGCTTTAAAAGAAAAAAAGAATAATGTATGTAATTACACTGAATGGCCT